ATTTAAAACACTGCACTTCATCACTGGGTTGTTGATACTGATCCTGATTTATACTCCCAAGCAGATTCATAGGGTGTGACTGACATTCTGGTTGTGTAGCAAAATGAAGACGGGTATTTCTGGCTTTGAAGGCCACGCTTTTCTCTTCTTTTCTTCCATCTCTCGATGCTTGTTCTCAATCAGAATTGCTCTATCCACCAATGTTTTGAAACTAGGATACACAACAGTCATCAACTGCAATTGAACTCCATCATTTAGTCCTTTAAAAAAATGTTTCTGTTTCTTAGCATGATGATCCACTTCTTCTGGAGCATAGCGTGACAACTGAGTGAACACATCACGATACTAACACACAGTCATAGATCCCTGCTTGAGAGCCCGAAACTCATCTGGCTTGAGTTCTACCACACCTGTGGGAATGTGGTACGACCTGAAGCTCTCGCTAAACTCCTTCCAATTGATCTGTCCAATATTGTTGGGACGTCCATCTTCGGCAAGACTCCCATCAGTCTTGTGCTGCGCCCTAGAGTTGGCCGTATGCAAAATCACCTTCTCATGGTCATCTCATTGAGCTATGTCCAATTGTTGCTCCATAGCTCTAAGTCAGTCATCAGCTTCTAGTGGTTTGCTTATATGAGAGAATGTTGGTGGATGTCCCTTCATAAATTCACCACACTTGTCAATAGGGGGTGCTTGATGTGGGTTGTTCAACACCCTTTGGGCAATAGTCTGTAATAACTGAGTTTGCTCATCATAGCTTGCTCTATAGATGGGGGATTTGATGACGATGGATTAGAATTGGCAGGATTCCTTCCTAGTGAGAGCTAGAATCTACAAAACTACCTTCACTTTGGCTACCCCCCTTAAGAAAAGGTAAAGTAGGGGACAAAAAATGGTAGCTTGCACCTTCTTTTAGATGAGCTACTAGTATCAAGACATTCTAACATCCCAATGATACTCTCGTATATGGGCAAGAACAAGAAATTTGAAATTCCTCACGAGCAGAGAAACAATAGTGCAGTAAAACAGCTGTAACTCCCATTGTATTAATCTAATGAAATTGTAGCTTATACCATCGGAAAGCTTATCGAATCCTCCACATCTTTCTTATAGAAAACTTTTCTAAATTCTACAGATTAGGTAGTCGAAAGTAGTGCACAACATAAACTAATCCAGATTTTAGACAGCACGGTTGCATCGTCTTGTGATTTTCATAACTCCATAACCAAAATAGACATGAGGACGGTCCTTGCGGTCACAGAAAGATATCGAAGTCTACTATTGTTCAGAATTTTCTCATGATTTTTGGTCATCCAAGAATAGATATATAAGCCAATAAAGGTAGGTTGCTCCGAACGACAATATCATTGTGGGAATAAAGGTGGTGAGGGACACCCAACAAGATCATTGCAGTCATTACAAAGATCCAAAACACGCATAAACATAATGACAATTCAACAAAGCAATAAAGGTGCACAACTCAATCATTGACTCAACTTGCGACACTATCGTCCTCATTGTACTTGGGGTAAGAATCCTAAGACTAATCTTCAGGTTGCGCAAGAAGGTGGTGAGGGACAATTCTAAAAGCATATCAAATCAAGGAGTGAAGATGAGAACAAAGACTTCAAAATAAGCACCAAGGTAGAGATGAATAATAAGGGTAGAGTTATAGTAGAGAAGAAAATATCAAGGTTCATAGAGCAAGGATTTTTGTAGCAACTTCTAAACCTTAAAACGATCAGTTTCTACTAGGTTTGTGTCCTACAGTCAGCATTGCTCTAATACCACTTTGTAGCACCCAATTTTTAGAACAAAACTAGATACACACCATATGTGAGTCCAGGAAGTCAAATCTCACATATAGCTACAAATAAAGATAATATCAAAAGACAATGCTCAATATATAACGTACTTAATATAAAGGATATAACCTTAGATAGCAAACAGTGGAAAGACAACTCCGATCTTCAGGTGAAGACTCCAATCCATAGGGACAACTGATTGGTTGATCACAATCCTAATTCCTCCAAACTCTAGCAATCTGGTACCCATCCGGGATTTTTCCAAAGATTTAAAAAGTAAATCAAGCGTAAGCACATGTCGTACTCAACAAATATAACATGGGGTTCATGAGGCTCAAAAGGCTGACACTGGTTAACTGCGATTAGCTTTTAATGAGTCATGATTTTAGCAATAGGGTGGCAACAAGTTAATCCACAAGCCCACATAAACATATGATCAGGTAAACATGAATAATGAATAGCATAAACAATAATTATTAGTGATCATCTTCATCATCAATATCATCAATGTTCATCATCTATTCCGTAAGGGTCCAAGGCCGCTCGTGACCGTGAGCACGGATGATATACCAGTTTTATACTCTGTAGAGGTTATACACTTTCATTGTGAGTCGTGATTTACCCTTTCGCCTAAGGTAGCTAACCTCTTGACCCACTACCAAGGAAGGTCGGCAGGGTTCACTATGAATCCTTTCAAAAGTTCATCTCATAAGTTAGGGCCGCTAGGTTTCTGTGCCCTGCGAATGTAGGGCTCTCCTTCCGACAGTACAATAACGCTGCAGCCCTATACACCGACGACAGACGAGGCCGCACTACTATATCCAACCCAAAACACACCCCTCTTGTGCCATAAAGGTAACCTCTAACAATCTAGAAAAGGTCATCTAACTAAGCTAAAGGTAGAGCTATGTAGCCCTCACAGCTGTACTATAAGTCCTGGATGTTCGCTTACAGATAAGTCCTTAGGGAGAGAAATCCAGAGCACCATAAAATAGTCCAATGCTATAGGCCCCTTGTTCCATGTTGCTAAAAAGCATCTTTTAATGTTTATTGCATATACCATTAGTCAAGTTACAAGATCATGGCTTTAGTTGAGCACTAGCATCATACTACCCAATGCAATAACCCGTAGGAATCAAGGAATCTAGGATATCAAATAGCTAGGAAAATTACTACGATTGCCAAGGTAGACACATGCATATGATTAAAATGATATTAAGGTGAATAGGATAACAAGGAAGATCCCATGCTATACTTGCCTTAAACTCAGATCCTTCTTCTAGTCCACACCTTCAATGAATTGCTTCGGATTCACCGTGTATAGCTCACCGACTAGACATGATCATAAACACACCACACAAGCATCCATGCAATCATACACAAAGCAAACAATAGAAATAAATTAGAACAATACACCAAACATAATAAACAATAGGTAAAAAAAGGTTTTAAAGATGTTCTACATGTTACTAGAAACACACGAGACGCCGAAAAGCACTCTAATCGAGCCATAACGAGAAAGTTATGAATTAAACCAGATTTCCTTTAATAAAATAATAGATTAAATCTAACCTCAAATTTCAAAAGTTGAAAATATATTTAACAGTAGGATGAACATGTAGATTACTCAATTATGAATCTAACGCAACTTGAACGGGTCAAATCGGAGTTAAAACGTAGAACTTATGGCCTAATGAAGATAGTGGCAATTTTGAAAATATTTTGAAATGAATTTCATATTAAAAATAATTAAAAACCGAATTAAAACAGTCCTATGGACCGGGCGTCATTTTTTGGAAACACACAGGGGTCAAAACATAAAAACTAGGGGCATAATTTTAATTACTTTTGAACTACTTAGGTGACAGGTTGATTTCTAGAAAATCTTGGGTCTCTTTAGCAAAATGTCCGCGTAGTCAGCGGGTCGCTGGCGTGGCGCACACGTGGTGATAGGTCGTGGTCTCTGAGTGGCTGGTCTACGGTGAACCGCTCACGTGGCCTGCTGACACGGATGGTGCACTTGGTCTACACTGTGCTCATGGACCGAAGAGGTATCTTCTAATCTAGGCCGTTGATCTTAGATCGGGCGGTGCAGATCAATTCGGGGAACGAAGGTCGCCGGAGCGGCGTTGTGCATGGCTGCGTCATGGCCGGAGAGCAGAGGAGCTCACCGGCGGAACTAGTTTCGACGTTCTCGACCTCCACCTGGCACGGCAGGACCACGGGAAGCAAGAGAAGCTCGAAGTGAACTCGATGGAGGCTTCGAAGGGAGCTACGATGGCGCGGTGGCGAAGCTGCGCTCGTTATGGCGGATCGGCGCGTCGGCAAAACTTCAGCGAGGTGGAGAGAGAGATAGAGGGCGAGAGAGAAAGCGTTCACGGCACCAACATATTGCTTACCTCTCGTAGATGCGCGGCGACACGGTCGCAGTAGTGGAGAGACGGCGAAATTACGAGTCCCATGTCGTCGGATCTCCGGCGGCGTGTGGCGTATGGACCTACAGCTGCTGCAGCTCAAGGTGAGGCAGAGGCTCGTGTCTAGGGTTCGGGGAAACCGGCGTGGGGTACCGCTGCTCCTTATGAGGCGGGGGAGCTTGCGGTACAAGCCAAAATGGCCGGGTGGGCATCGACATGGACTCCTCCATGGAGTCCGGTGCGGCGACGGGTTGAAGAAGGTCCTGATGGACGGGGCCCACCGGTCAGCTTAAGAGAGAGGGGGAAAGGGCAGGCGCGGCGCTGCTGGGCTGACTGGGCCGAGGCGTGCGGCTGGGCCGAGCTAGGAGGGGGCGCGGGAGGAAGGAAACGGATGGGCCGCTATGGGCAGAAGAGAGGAAGAAAGTTTTTCTTTTATTTCAAAATTTTTCCAAATGCAATTTCAAATCCAATTTAAATTCTTTTGAAATTTTGTTCGAACTCAATCATCACAAAGTAAATTTGCAGCAGCGTGAATGCTCAACCATGTAGCTAACCCTATGATAAATTTTAATTTAATGAAAAATCATTATTTCCTATGTTTTTATGAACACTAGAAATGCAAGGTTAAATCATTTTTCATGTATTTCAAAAAGAAGCAAAATTTAGGGTGTTACAATGGGCAACCACGTCACATGGCTGCCGTGCCAGCCATGCCGGGCGGTGATACCCATGAGTCCGGGCCCATGTTCGACCCCATGCACTCTCGACATCTTACTGCAAAATGGGGTACGACGCGCCCAGATTGCCAAGCGCTAGGGCGATCCGTGGCGGTGACACGGCGCATGATGTGCGTCTACACCGTGGGCTACGGGGACGGCTCTCGATGGTGGGAGACTTCATCAAGGAGATGATGACCTTCGCGGGCGCGGCGTCCAGGTTCCGCACCTATCGATCGGTTGTGGAGATGACAACAAGGGCCTGTTCGGCGCCGGGCGCCGGGATCCTGGCCTCGGCCATGACCAAATATCGTGCCGAGCCAGCGATTGCTGCTCTCGGCTACAACACGACGAGCTTCTACTACTGTCTCCTTGACTTCTTGTCAAGCCCTGCCTCCTACTCCTCCACCCTCACCTTCGGTGTCGGCGCCGTGGAGACCTCCCCGCCAGCGTCCTTCACCCCCACGGTATGGAACCCAAACATGGGCACATTCTACTACGTGCGGCTTATCGGTGTCAGCGTGGGTGGCATGCGCGTGTTGGGTGTGACTGAGTGTGACCTACAGCTAGACCCATACACGTGTCGCAGTGGCATTATCCTGGACTCGGCACCACCGCGATACACGGCTTGCCCTCCCAGGTGTACATCGCAAATCCATGACGCCTTCCGCACCGCGGCAGCCGATCTCGGCCAGGTCTCCATCGGCGGCCCCTCCGGCTTCTTCGATACATGCTACATCATGGGCAGAGGGAGCGTGATGGTGCCCATAGTGGGGGTGGGGGGGGAGAAGGGTGGGCGGGCGCGTGGTCAGGAGAGAGGGGAGGGGCCAGAGAAGGGGAAGTTGTATTAGATTACTTGCTTCCTTAAGATTGAATGGTTACAGGCCCCTCGTATTTATTGTCCTTGGAGACTTGGTTCTTAAGCGATCCTACTTTTCTAAAAGAACCTTTATAGATTCGGGTCTCTTCCGTAACAAACCTTAATCTAATCTTACTGAGCACACCCTTCCTACTTTTCCTATTCTATTCTTACTCCCCTTGATTGGCGGAGCCCTTCTCAGGCGGTGGCGGCCCTCCATGGTCGCACCCCCTCCCAGTCGCGCCGCGCCCTCCTCGGGTTGTGTGCAGGTGGCGCCGCAAGCCCACGCGTGGCTCTACGCTGTGCCTCACTTGGTCCATAGTTAGGGGCCCACATTGAGTGTATGACAAAATCTATGTTGAATATAGGGATGGTGATAGGGCTAAGATGAAAACGTGCATAGAGGTGCTCAAGTCGAGTTCGGATAGGGATTGATTCATGAAGGCTTTCTTGCTTCTAGCTTTGGGGTCTGTTTATTGTACGAACACAACAAATGCAGTGACCTTGAAGTATCTTCATAGCCTACGTGATGTATCAAAGATTAATGAATTAGATTGGGTTGGCCATATCCTAGAGGTGGTGATGGAAGTGGTGAAGAAATACAAGAGATTGTCTCCTGAGCATGACCATTACGTTGGATCTTGTCTTGCAATTCTAGCTGTATTTCGACTTTCTTCGTTACATTGCTTATTATCCATGTACTGTACTATCTTCAAATCATCGTATTGTTTCGTACTATCTTCAACTTTCCTTTGTTACATGGCTCAGCGCCGAGGTGACAAGTGGCGGAGCTAGGGGGGGCCATAACACGCAAACCCCCCCCCCGACTTAACATGTCACAACAAAAATATTTATAGTAGTATATAATTTTATAATTTCTAGGCTTGTTAAAAGAGAGAGTATAAACAAAATAATATAATTAATATCTTTTACACCCTCCGTCCAATAAAAAGTGTCATCGTCGCTTTTTGAGAATTCAAACATCTTCGCCCTGGGGGTCCTTACGCTCGGTTGATGAAGCTTTTCGCCAAAGCAGCAAGCTCGAGAGCACAAGTAGCAAGCTTTGCTTTCGTGTCTCGAAGGCTTGCCTGCTGCCTGTCACCCTCAGCTTCAAGGCCGGTAACTACTCTCGCTGGTCCACCTACTTCCGGGCTGCCTGCTGCAAGTTCGAGGTCCTGGACCACATCGATGGCTCCCCAGATCGCCCAGACGATCCGCTCTGGGCGTAGCAGGACCACACGGTGCGGACATGGCTCTTCACCTTCGTTGCCGACGATGTTCTAGACATCTCCGTTGAGGACGAGCAATCCGCTCATGAACTCTGGATGCGCATCGCCAGCCAGTTCACCGCCAATCAGGCCACCCGTGCGATCTTCCTGCGCAACGAGTTCCACAGCTCCACGCAAGGCACGTCGTCGATCACCGACTACTGTGCGTGCCAGAAGACGACCGCTGGCGCCCTGCGTGCCATCGGTCACCCCGTCCAGGAGTCGGACCTCATCCTCAACACTCTCCATGGCTTGAACGACGACTTCCGCACTGCCACCGACATCATCGCCTTCACCGAGCCCCTGCCGTCCTTCGCCAGGACTCGCAACTTGCTCCTCACCAGCGAGCAGTCACACAACAAGGTGCGCCCTGTGTCATCATCGTCCGGATTTCTGTTCTACGCCATGCCATCCTCTGACACACCTACCCCGCCACCCAATGGAAGTCGCGGTCGCGGCAAGGGTGGGCGTGGCAAGCCCCGTGGACCGCCATCGGGTGGTGTGCCGCCGCCAAACCACGCCATTGGGCCTACCCCTTCCACTGGCCCGTGGGTCTGCATGACCCCTTGGGGTCCTCTACTGGTGGTGGTCGCGCCTGGGTTCCCTACTAGCGGCGTCGCCTCTCCCCTCCGGGGCTGCTGGTCGCGGCTGTGGCAACTCCGCCCCGACGTCTTAGGCCCGCGCCCTGCTCCTGCCCCCGCGCGCAGGCCTATGCGACATTTGCCCCGCGTAGATGTGCACCACCGACTCCTCCGGCACACAGCAGTGGAACACCTCTGCGTTGATTGCGGCCCTCAACGCCATGCAGAATCCCTCTGCATATGATTGGATCATAGACTCGGGTCCTTCCTCCCACATGGCATCTGATGCAGGTATCCTACACTCCTCGTACCCTCCCTCTCCCACACTGTCCGTGACCGTGGGCAACGGTTCCTCATTGCCCGTCACACGTGTGGGATCCTCTTGTTTATCGTCTCCTTCGTCCAACTTCTCTCTTAATAATATACTTCTTGTTCCTTCCAATGTTAAAAATCTTATTTCCGTTCATCGTTTCAAAGCTGACAATTCTGGCCCTGATCGGCTGGGGCTGGCTGGCCAGCCCCCTCACATGGATACTATTTACATGAACCAGCCCGTAGTACTTATCTCTCATATAAACGAACTAGCAATGATACGAACCAGCCAACCGAACAGGCTGTCTGTTTCCGTGGAATTTGACCCGTTTGGTTTCTCTATCATGGACCTTTGTACTCGGCGCATGATTCTTTGTTGCAATAGTGTCAGTGACCTCTACACCCTTGGCGCCCGCACCTCCGCATCTGCAGCTGCCCTTCTCTCTACTGTCACATCCTCCGACACTTGGCACCATCGTCTCGGTCACCCCGGTCGCGATGTTCTTACAGCCTTGAATAAAACGGGGCTTATTTCTTGTAATAAACTAGCTGGTAGTTTTCTATGCCATGCGTGTCAACTTGGCAAACACGTACATGTACTTTTTGCAAGATCTACCTCTGTTAGCACTGCCCCCTTTCAGCTTGTTTTTTGTCATCTTTGGACTTTGCCCATTGTCAGCCCATCTGGTTAAAATTTTTACCTCATTATAGTCGATGATTACACTCATTATTTCTGGGCTTTTCCGCTGCGTTTCAAGTCTGAAGTTCATGATATGCTAATTGCTTTTGTCGCTTATGTGCAAAACCAATTTCAGTCCTCCGTTGGCTCTTTTCAGTCTGACAACGGGAGCGAATTTGTCAATCATATTAATGTTGATTTCTTTCATCAACATGGGATTTTCCTTCGTCTTTCTTGTCCTCATACTTCCCAGCAAAATGGCTAGATCGAGCTGCCATTCGCACCATCAATGACGTTGTTCGCACCTTGCTGTTTTAGGCCAACATGCCCCCCTCCTTCTAGGTGGAGGCCCTCGCCACGGCCGTGTACCTCCTTAACCGGCATCCCACGGCACCCATCGGGCTCGCAACACCGTTCGCTCGCCTCTTCGGTGCACCCCCCGATCTTAGTAATCTTCGTGTTTTCGGCTGGCTTTGTTATCCCAATTTAGCATCCACTGTCGACCACAAATTATCCCCCTACTCAGCTGCCTGTGTTCTCCTTGGTTATCCACTCGAACACAAAGGCTACCGGTGCTACAATCTGCTCACATGACGAGTCATTAATTCTCGGCACGTCATTTTCGATGAGTCTGTTTTTCCGTTCGCCATGTCATCCCCTCCCACCAATATCACCTCACTTGATTTCCTCCCTGATCTAACTGACATGTCCACCAGGACGAACTCCCTGTCTTCTACTACAGGTACTCCGGAGGATATTTCCATCCCTGCTGCCGATGACCCGGTGCCTCTCCTCACTCGCGTCCCGTTGATGCCACTCGGAGCGCGGCCACGTCACTAGCATCCGCTCCACCGAGCGTGACTCCCGTGCCGCCACGCTGGGCCTCGCCTCTGAGACCCGTCTCCTCGGGTGGTCGACCGTGTGCACACGGCGCCCTCATGAAACGACCCCAGCACCTCCACGGCCTCCACTGCCGGCTGTGCATCGCCTGACGACGCGCACCCAGCACGGCATCGTGAAGCCGGTTGATTGATTCAACCTCCACGCGAGCCACTCTGGTGTCTCCCCTGTCCCTGTGACCTACAGATCAACTCTTGGGGACCCTCATTGGCGTCAGACTATGCAAGACAAGTATGATGCTCTCATTAGCAACTCCACCTGGACTCCTGTGCCCAAACCAGCGGGTGCCAACATTGTGACAGGTAAATGGATTTTTAAACACAAGTTTCATTTCAATGCTTCATTGGCTCGCTACAAGGCTCGTTGGGTTGTCCGTGGTTATTCGCAGCGTCCTGGTATTGATTTTGATGAGACCTTGAGTCCGGTTGTCAAGCCGGCCACCATTCGCACTGTTCTGAGCATCGTAGTTTCTCAGTCTTGGCCCATTCATCAGCTGGATGTCAAAAATGCCTTTCTTCATGGGAATATTTCTGAGATAGTTTATTGTCAACAACCATCCGGATTCATCGACTTTGCTCATCCCGATCATGTGTGTCGCCTGCAGAAGTCGCTCTATGGTTTGAAACAAGCCCCTTGTGCCTGGTGCCAGTGGTTCGCTACTTACATCCGCACCTTGGGTTTTGTTGCCTCTCCATCAGATGCATCCCTGTTTGTTCTTTAGCATGGCTCTGCACTTGCCTACATCTTGCTCTATGTCGATGATATCATTTTGACAGCTTCCTCCACAGAACTCCTTCAGGACATTATTGGTCGTTTACATTCGGAGTTCTCTATGACTGATCTCGGTGATCTCCATTTTTTTCTCGGCATTAATGTCTGTCGCTCTGCTGATGGGTTGACTCTCTCCCAGCGCCAGTATGTCAGTCGCTGATCCTACAGAGTATCGCAGTCTCACTGGGGCGCTACAGTATCTCACTCTGACTTGACCAGCCCTTGCATATGCTGTTCAGCAAGTCTGCCTCTACATGCATGATCCTAGGGAACCACACCTCCACTTCATCAGACGCATTCTGCTTTATGTTAAAGGTACTCTAGACATGGGCCTTCATATTTCAGCTCACTAGCCACTGATGTCTCTCACAACATACTCGGATACAGATTGGGCTGGCTGTCCTGACTCTCGTCGCTCCACCTCAGCTACTGCATTTACCTTGGTGATAACCTTGTCTCCTGGGCTTCCTAGCATCGACTACGGTTTCCCGCTCTCTGCGCAGAGGCGAATATCGAGCGGTAGCGCACGCTGTTGCCGAGTGTTGTTGGTTTTGTTAGTTGTTGCAGGATCTTCATCATCCTCTTCATAGTGCCACCATTGTCTACTGCGACAATGTGAGTGTTGTGTACATGACCTCTAACCTGGTCCACCATTGACGCACAAAACATATTGAGATCGATATTAATTTTGTGCGTGAGAAGGTTTCTCTTGGCTAGATACGGGTTCTACATGTCCCCTCGAGACATCAGTTCGCGGATATCATGACCAAAGGTCTCCTGATTCAGCACTTCCAGGAGTTTCGGTCCAGCCTTTG